GACCTGGGAGCATCACGTCAGTTCCACAAGGATCGTATTTTCTGCTAATCTTCTTTTGTTTATTTTTTATCCTTCCTCTTAGGACCTCCCATTTGCATTCGTTTGGTCTTGATTTCTAAGGGTCTCTGGCAGTTATTCGACTGGAAGTGATTTTGGCAATTCTCAAATGCTTATTTTGGTGCTCCAGGCATTTGATAAATGGACCCTGAAGACGGGATAGCTTCTGAGGACAGGAAAGGTGTTAAAGAGGAAACTTCTGCGGAAGCAATCATACCGGTTTCAAAGCCTGAGGAAGCGACCCCTGAGATTGACTGCTCTAAACAGGTATAGAGAAATTAGACGAACTAAACTCTGTTCCTGTGTCATGTACATACTTGGAATGGGATTCATTTTGCACATTTCCTTTTTCTCTTCAGGATACATCGAGCGCAGGTGTTGGACCACCCAAACTCAAGAAGCTCTCCAAGGACAAATTGAATGTGAAAGGGACCGCTCCGTCTGCTCAAAACCGGAAGCCGGTTCTGTCCCAGAGTTTGTCATTCCCGGCAAAGGGAATCCGTGCTAATGGCATGAGGAAGAGCGTTGATGCGGTCCCAACAAAAGCCGATGCCAAGCATTCCAAAGCAAACATGTCTGGCCTTTCTAATGGATCTGTCAGTTCAGTTGCCATCACGGGTCAACGCGACCGGCTCATGGCCAATGGAGTGAGCTCGAAAGCGTCTAACTTGGGCAATCGACGCTTATTGGTAAGGCTTTGTAGGGATTTGCTGTTTTCTTTGTATCGTTCTTGCCTTTTCTTAAAGTCCCCTCCGAATGTGATTGTGTTAGGCTCAGAAACCTGGCTCTGCAGAGGGAGTGGCCAATGCTCCTCCAACCGAGGTTTCCCTGTAAGTCATGTCAGAGATTCCATAACAGCTCTTGCCAAGTCTTTTGTAAAACTAGGCCTTGTTTACATTTCATTTGACGCAATTGAATATGAGTTTGGCATCAAACATCCAAAATAGTGCCCATTTGGAGTCCTGCTAAGTAAACACGTTCTGTTCCATGTAGTTGCAGCTCGCTCAGTCAAGACCGAAAAATCAACAGATCAACAAACCAGGACATTGAAATCGATGATACCCACTCCACTACCTCGTACTGTTCTTCCCCTAGATATTCATGCTATTTCTGCTAATGAGCATGTAACATTGTCTTCAATATCACATAGAACTAGTTTTTCATAGTCCATGTAATTGTTTGTCAGAACTGCTACTCCTCGTGGTCGCAAGAGTGGCATTTCCGGATTTGCCTCCAGGTTGACTGAGCGTGCTGAGAAAAGGAAGGAGGTTTGCCAACTTAATTAAGCATAAATTTTCGATCGCTGGATCTAGCTCTCTAGTTCATTGTTAATTAGTCAGGACTTAACTGCTCTCTTTCCCACCAGTTCTTTTCTAAACTAGAAGAGAAGATTCAGGAAAAAGAAGCAGAAAAAACCAGCTTGCAAGAGAAGTCAAAGGTCTTACCACTGGCACTTTGATTTCCATTGGTTGTTTCTTTTTTCCATGCAAAATTTCCTTACCACTCCAATTTGGTCCTTGAATAATGTTTCCTGGTTCGATGCAGGAAAACCAGGAGGCAGAGATCAAGCAACTGAGGAAGAGCATGACATTTAAGGCAGCTCCAATGCCAAGCTTCTACAAAGAACCTCCTCCGAAAGTTGAACTTAAAAAGGTCTGTCATCTTTCCTTCTGTTTTCGAGGGAATATTGTAACAGTACAAAGAAAGCAGTAGTTATAATTTCATGTGTGGATAGACAAATAAGGAGTGTATATCATAATTACAATTTGATTTCTCTTTACATAACTTGGATGTTTAGTATGTCATGCAAACTCCTTCAAGATTAACCAGTTGGTAACAATGCATGGGAGTTTTGAAACCCATTTTCATTTAAGATGTTTTTACTCGATCAGCTGCATGTAAGTTATTCACTGTATGCATATTACTGTGAGATATCATATAACTTTTGGGGCACAAACCTTATGGGATATCATCCTTTGAAATTGGAATATTTCCATAGATACCGACCACAAGGGCAAGATCTCCGAAACTCGGGAGGAAGAAGAGCTCGGTCACTACAATGAATAACTCTTCTGAAGGTGGTGGATCTTGTTCCATGCCACGTCTAAACCAAGAAAGCAAATCGTTCAAGGGATCTCAGGTGAAACAGAATAAGGACGATGTTGCTACAAAGATGCCGCTTAAAAAGACCAAATCTAGGCTGACCGCGAGACCGAAGAGCATTGCCAAAGAAACAGAAGTTGAGAGCCGCAATGCCGGCACTGAAGAAACCGCAGAATGCCAAGACCAATACGCAAATCTTGTTGATCACGGGTCTATGGGTGACACATTGGTTCAGTCGAATCAAGCACAAAAGGATGAAGCCACCTTGGTTTCTGCTTCCGAGATAATGCCTCAAGAAGTCGCTGTCGGAGGCTGACGATGAAGACACTAGAACTGTGTATGATAGGTCTTGTGCAATTTATGATTCTTTGTGGTGTTAATATTTTTGTTTCCAGTCATGTGTCAAAGTTATATATGTAACTATAGTTTACATATTCGTGTTCTTTTTTGGTTGTCATTTGTGTTGGTTCCTGGAAAACCGTAGGCCGCTCCAACTAAGAACTCCATTGCTGTCACATGCTAGAGTCCATTCCACAGCTTGAAACTTGTATGTCCATGTTCGTGTGCGTAAAGTATACTTGATATTCTTTAACTGAAGTTGTTCTCGCTAGGTTTTCTGTACATAGTTCGACGTTAATCATGTGCGCATTTTGGTCCTCTATTTGTCAATCGCAACTCGATGATGTATGAGTCAGTGTTTGATTAATTTGGGATCGGTTGCAAGATTCCAGATCATTCCTATTTCAAGAGATACTACGGGAACGGGAAATGTTGTTTCGGTAAGCTCAAAGTAAGCTTAATACAAAGGGCCAGTCGCCCTAACCTTTTCATACTGTGCATGGTATCGGTTTTCGACACGTGGCATCCTATCTTTGGCTCTTTCGATCCATCACGGACAGCCACATGTCACTAGCCGTCTCACAGAGCTCTCTTACAACTAATGCTCGAGCTAGCAGGGGGTAGTACTGTCCTCACAACCCATCTCCTTTCATCCTAAGTCCAAGATGATACTGTGGTGCGCTGCGCTACGCCAACCCTTCTCAAAGACGGGCCACTCCGAACCCCGAGCAAGCTATTCTAGGACAGGGCCTGATGTGAAAGTACGTAAAATGTCCTCCATCTCAATCTGTCAAAAGAAGATGATAGGTTACTGAAAAGAGAAGGGTTATTCAGCTTCACGAGCTGACTTTGAAAGATGGTAGGTTACTGAAAAGAGAAGGGAATAATTTCCAGGTCGTCAATATTTGGCATGTCTCACATTCTTGCTTTCAAAGTCAGCTCGTGAAGCTGAATAACCCAAACTGCAAGGAAATTGTGAAGCGATTGGCAGGGACCCACGAGCCCCCAGAAAAGTCCCATGATTACTTGAGAAGCAAGTCAGATTTTGTGATCAAAAACCAAAAAGCCGAGACCCTCTATGGTGGGTGTCTCAATCTCACCATCAAGACTTGGTTGCCAGTGATTTGCAATCTCTCACCTGGAGTCAAATATCACTTCAGAGGAGATGTCGCCACTTGGCAAAAAGTTTTGATGGCGAGGGACTGACTTTTGGCAATTTGATGTTTATAAGTAATATTTCCTTCCACGTTTTAAGCCCTTCAGTTTAAGGTAGGTGATGATGCATGCTACAGAAAAATTGCCCCTGCACCTGTGAGAGAATACAACCTTTTAACTCAATCGAATCTTTTTAATAATGTCATAAATGCCGAGAAAGTTTACAAAATTGTTTAATGGAAGGGGCAGAACTTATGTTATGTATAGCATATGGCATATTCTTTTAGAGGCTTATTTCCAATCTGTCGCGTCACTTAATATTTCTAGATTGATCTTCCTACATTTAGCGATTGCTCAGAATCTTTATCAGGTTCAAGGAGGACATCAGGGGTTGTTGCGAGTCTTGATTAGAGCCGTGGCTCATAATGCTCAGTTGCTTGTCCTCTAGTTTATAGGAGATTGGACCATCTCAACTGCACAATCAAGAAAATGAAGATCTAACCAAAAGTGGGGACAAAGAAGAGAGAAGCTTAAATGTCTTTGGTACTTTGGCGAAAATACAGCTTTGATAATAAGTACCTTTCACTTTGTGTTATTGCATTTATGGATGTTATGGAAAGGATGGAGAAACAAGGCCCCCAAATCAAAGACTCTGCTTTTCTCGTATTATCGATAATCAATATACTAAATATCGCAATAATGGTTATTAAGCCGGTATCTCAAGCCATTTGTTAAAGTTAGCTAGACCTAGATATAATTAATTAAAAATAATTGAGGAAGAATTACTAGAAAAATAGCCAATCCCCACTAACTCCCCGTGGTTAGAACATCATCTCAATTTCTACCACTCCATGATGTTTTCTTGGCTTCTAGAATTTTAGCATAATGTCCTAATGACCCAATAGAAAAATATATGATAACCTGTACAGAAACTGCCAACTCCATCCAAAGTGGAAATCTCAACCAAAGATATCAATTACTTATTTGTTTCCCAATGTCAAATCTGTCTCTGCTCCCTTACTTCCACTTTCACATTCATGAACTTTTGTAGTCGCTTAGCCAGCCACATTGGTTCGTTTGGGCTTATTCAATGAAGAGGACAGGGCAACACCTAAGCAAGGACCAGCTACTCCTACCTGTCATCATCACCACTAGTAATTTAATCAAACACCTTCCATACCCTTCCCATTATCATAGCCTTATTCTTCTCCTTATTAAATATACCGCCAACCACAATCAAGCAGACCCTTTTCCAGTATTAAAAAAATGCAATAAGTAGACAAAACCATAGGAAGCAAATTTTTTTTTTTATATATGATTTTCATGAAACCGACAAGTTTAGTACATTTAATTGACAGGCAAAAAAGAACCACCACTTAGATACAAAGCAACACGCAGTCTTACAAGAATGGTGCCCATGGATTTGCAGCGGCAGTGTGACAACACAAGAATAATTATACAAAAAAAAAATCGATTTTGGTAATTACAGTATTAAATTTCCAGTAAATGAAAGATTGAGAACATCATCATCTTCTATTTTTATGGTTTTGAGAAAATCCCTGAACCCCATTTATGTCCCAGCCTCATCTATGGATCCCACTGTACCAGAGTCATCCTGATCCTGCAGCATCAAATTCACAGATGTTCTCAGAAACAGCTCACAAAGCATCGGAATCAGAATTTTTTTTGGTCCTTTAAATAAAGAATGGGTTTTTCACCTTGCTCCATATACATGCTTTTGCCTTGCCTCCGTGAAGAGTTTAATTGAAGGAAGAAAGAAATTTATTTATTTTATTGTTTTATTGACATGAGGAAAAATGAGAATGTTGCCCAAAAGCTCCAAGCATACTGCATGCTACTTCCATCAACTTCCCTGTCATGTCAAATGGAACAGAACCGTATTAGCTTTTGGGTAAACTCATTATTGTTTGTCACATTAATCATACGCATAAATAAAAAAAAATCAAAATGACAAAAAAAATCGACCGACAAGAATTAATGCACGGCAACAATGGAACGTGCCCGAATTGACTGGTCACTGGTATCCAAAAGGAAAGTCAGCCATCAGAAAATTTAGAGAAAGAGACAATGCAAATCATTGAAGATGAGCTGGGAATTATATATAGAAGCACCATACACAATAAATAATAATAATAAGAAGAAGAAGAATAATGGCCAAAACATTAGTAAAGACAGGCTGTTGGTGGATATTCAAGACTGGTGGTAGGGTTAGGGGAATGTGGCTCACAGCTGGGCAGTTGTATCCTTTGAATCAAAGACAAAAAGCCCATCAATTTATTTGGCGGAGATTGGCAAATTACGAATTATTTCTCCGTATAATTTACCGGATCCTCGCTCAATATCACTAACCAATCGAGCATTCGCATCACCACGTCAGCCAGTTAAGCCCGCGATGTGACTGGCTTGGCAATACTAAATCCGACGTGTTATGCGGCGGTGCAAGCATTGCCATATTAAAAGCACTTATTACCACATGTGGGTGGGTGGATTTTTCCTTAACGCCTAAGTTGTGTGCGCTTCCTCTAGGCTATACTCAAAATGAATCCTAATCAACTTTAGTCAAAAGAGCGAAGGTGAGATCATCACAATCTGTCCCCAACAAACTCTAAATGAGCTGCTTCTGAATTAATTATTCAAAAAGTACACAAACTCTAGACCATTAAGAAAAAATAACTGTCTTCCTCTCTGCAAATCCCGCAAGACACTTGAAAGAAAAGCAAAGCCAAACTCATCGACAAAACCCCAAGATCGTAAAGTGTAATCCACCTGTCTCGTGAAAGCTGTGTTCTGGTAATGTCACAACATATTCTACTCAAAGTTGGTAACAAAGAACACGTTAAACCCGGACACTGAAACGATCATTAAAAACGATCGAACTTTGGTCCGACCAATGATTGGGGGAAGCAAGTAATATGCCCACTTTAACGTGTGGCATCTGTCTACTTGCCAACCCAGAGAAGGTGTCCTAATCTTGCTTGTTACTCTACACAACAGCTCATCAATCAAAAACACACCAAAAGAGAAAGAAGAACAAAATACGCGTTGTGTGTGCGATTCCTATGTGCCCTACCATTCACCATCAATTATGGGCACCCACAACCAAAGCAGCATCCGACCCACCTCACACATTGGAATGAACTTTTTTAACCCACCCATCGACTTAGTTATCATCAATCTAAGGCTCTTTCTACGTCTCTCTGACCTAATATCTATATGGACAGAACTAGTCAGGACTGGAGACCAATGCAAGGCTCTCAGGTTTCATTTCCTTGGATTTGGCGTGTTAGGACATCCTAATTTGCTTTAGAACCAAGCAATGTCCAAGGCTGGCTCAACATATTCCCAATTCTATGCTCGGTCATGTGGCCACGCTGAATCACATGTCACTCGACAATTTCATACATGTTGGCCCAGTGAACATGGAGTCGAATTCTAATAAATCGAACGCAAGACGATATCACAGATATTTCACGCCACTCAATTGACAATTTCTAGCAGATTTCGCTCCAAATTCAACTCTACATAAGGTCCAATTTCGAAGTAGTTTCTATGTCAATATTAGCAACAACTAACCGCAGTCCAATTAAACTGAAAATCGACTGACACATACCTCTCCTGGGCTTGGCAACAACCTTGACCACTTTCTTCTCCGCCGCTGTCGTACTCGCCGGCGCCGTCTCCTCGGGTGGGAACAGAACCCCATCGATCCCCTGCACCGAGATCCTCCCGTCCGTGTAAATGTCAGGGTCGAACAGGTACGCCGACCCGTCCCCTTGGCCGAACTTCACTGACCCGTCGGCCTCCTGGGCCACCATTTTGTGCGGCAGCCGCAGCGTGTCGTACCGCACCTTCCCGAACCGACGCACCGCATTGTACATACTCTCCTCGGTCTGGTACTCCGGGATGATGTGGTAGTACACGATCTGCTCGGGCGCGCCTGGCTCGCTCAGCTGGTCGGTGGTCAGCTTCGCCATGGCCTCGTCGTTCGGGGCCAGCACGGTCAGCACGTACCCCTCCGACACTAGCCGCCCCATCTCCACCGCCAGCGACGTCAGGTTGACGAGGATGTCGGCCATCTCGTTGTAGCCCCCGTAGTGGAGGAGCGTGTGGATGAAGTCCTTCACCAGGGCCTCGCCGTGGAAGTGCCCGCGCGGGCCACCGGGGCCCGGCGCCGGCGCGGGGGCTAGGGACGGGCCGGGGGCCATCGCGTCGTAGATGGGAAGCGCCGGAGGGGACCCCGCGGGGGCCGGCGGGGCGGGCTTCTTGAGGCGGTGGGTGCGCGGGTCGACCTCCGGCGCGCCCTCCGGCAGGACGGCGGCGATCGAACGGAGGCTCCTCCGGCGGTTGAAGTCCTCCTGGACGGCGCGGGGGATCAGCAGCTGCTGGATCCCGTGGATGACGCCGTCGGGCCTGACGACGTCGTCGGGGCGCACGACCTCCGCCGTGTCGACGGCCTTCAGCCCGGAGCCCCTGGCGACGGCGAGGTGGACGGGGTCGGAGCCGAGGGTGGGGTGAGGGGCGGGGCCGGAATCAGGGGCGGGCCACTGGTGGGAGCCGATGCGGCGGGGGACAATGTGGAAGAGGAGGAGGGACTGGAGGGACCTGAGGTTGCGGGGCTCGAGGAGGAAGCGCTTGAACTCGGGGTCGAGGCCGCGCTCGAGGGCGTCGTTGCGGGGGGCGAAGATGGTGAGGTTGTGGCGGCCGACGGCGTCCTCGAGGGTCTGGAGGAGGAGGGCCTTCTCGACGAGCTCGGCGAGTTCGGTGTAGCGGGAGTCGAGGAGGGCCACGAGGACGGAGTTGGAGTTGATCTGGCCGCCGCCGCCGCCCCCCGCGGTGGAGTTGGAGGGGGGGCGGTGGGGCAATGCGGAGGAGAGAGGCAGGAGGAGGAGGAGGAGGAGGGCGGAGACACCACGGGCGCGGCGGTCCATGGCGATTGGAGGAGGAGGAGGAGGAGGAGTGGGGGTGGTGTTGTGCTGATGATGATGCTGATGCTGATGCTGCTCCGTCGTCGTCGTCTCCTCTCTAAAAAATGGAGGACTTGGGACAACAGCGGGTCTTTGTGAGGGGGAGGAGGAGGGTGAGGGGTTTGCGTAGAGAAGGGGAGAGATGGGGACGCGTGGGAAGAGACTTGTGAGGGAGTAAAAGTAAAATGCTATTACTACTGCTACTCCTACTACTCCAGCAGAGAGAGAAGAGAAGAGAAGAGAAGAGAAGAGAGAGAGACTGTTCAACACTCTTGCATTAAGAGAGAGAGAAGAGAGACAGCGCTTTTTTAGGTGGAGCTTGGGACATCAGACAGCCTGGAAGTGGGGTCCACGCGTCTCTCTCTCTCTCTCTCTTCCCTCTGTCTCCCGCTGTCTCCCGCTGTCTCCCTCTCTCTCTCTCTGTCTCTCTCTCTCTCGCGCTCGCGCGCGCCGGCTCCTTCGTCGCGGCTCCCCTCGGTCAAAGCGGCGACGACGACGTGATCTGGCATTCCTTCTCGGTTTAGAGACTATTCGTATTACATATCGAATCAAAATTTAGAGACTATTCGTGACACTATCTCGATATATTTCGTGGAGGTTGATTGAAGGGTAGTCCATCACTCCTAAACAAATGTCCTTCGCGTCGTTAAGTTCAAAAGCAGTAATAAGCGTCATAATGTGCACGACGCCACGAAAACTTCATTTAACGAGGACCTGTCGAATCAATTAAGATCGGCATAACTTTTTAGCACCCTAGAGACATCTCGCGTTTCGCAACACTTACGGACTATCGTATCTCGTTAATCCAGGCATCATAACCACAATCAGCTTAAATTATATATTTTTTTATTTTTTCACGTAAAGGAAAACCGGCAATTCTTTTCTTTGTCTAGAATATTTTTTTTTTTTTTGGGCACGAGTAAAAGAGAATCGAAATATCGAATGATCCTCGCTGGCAAAGGATGGCAAAACTCGATGCTCGCCTGGAAATTGATATTTCAGAGTCCATATACGGTTCACGCAAAAAATCAGGAAAAGTAAAATGACAGAGAGAAAGAGTTAAGACACGTGAGCGTGGGGGCTACAGGAACAAGAACCGACGAGCCGAGCCGAGCCGAGCCGAGGCTCGGCTGAGGAACTCACGCGTTGCGGCTCCAAGGCAAATTGTCGGTGTCTATAAATGAAATAAATTTACTTTTATAAAAAAAAAAATCCGAAAAATAATAATAATAATAATAATAATAAAAGGAAAGAAAACTGCCCCCCCCTTCTCAATATTCTACGCCAAGGTACCGCCGACGACGTCACGCCCGCCCGCCCTTCAATCGCGACGGGGACGCGTGAACGCACGATGCAGCGAAGGCGTTGCTTTACTGCATCCTCGAGAACGGCGACGTCTCGTCCGCCGGCAGCTGCCTCGTCACCCTCGCCCGCGCTTGACTTTCGCGAGCAAAGGCAAGGCGCACGCTCAAAACGTCGCACCGTCGTTTCGCTCTCCTCCTCGGATGTTTAAAATATGAATCCGCGGACTTTGGTCCTAAGTAAGACCTTAAACTGCTTCGTTTAGGCCTCGTGCTTAAAACAAAGAAAGAGCAGAGCCACGTGTTAGGCTCGATAAAGATACAATCAATTTAAGAAATTAGGCGTGTGGGCACGACATGTTAAAATAAAGAATGCAGTCATGTCAGCTCGTCAGGTGTATACACCTAGACAGGCCGGACGGTTCCAATCGGAAGCTTGCTTCCCCTACAGGAGTGAGGTACCTCGGTAACCACCACCGTGGCAGGCCCCCTCGCTCATTTGTGGCGTTTAACCGAAATTAATGAGCAATATTGGGCAGAAATACAATGTCAGGACATGCCGGATCAGCCATGCGAAGGCATCAAGTGTTCGGGCCTCTTAAAGCATCGATCGAATCCCACCAAATCATTGATTATTCCTTTCTTTCCTTTGCGGTATTGATCGACAACCTTGAAAATCGAAGTTACAAGATGCAAAAACTTTGCGAACTGTTTCAACTCGACGGATCAAAGAAATAACACTTAAAACTATGCGGATTGTAATATATGAGCGACAGAAGCTCGACCGTACAGTTAAATTATTAAAGGACGGTTGGCCTGACCGCCCCCAAGGCTAATATTCCTTGCACCGGTCCTTTTAATTAAAACTTGGAAAAGTTAATATCTGCAAAATACACGAGAGATCAACGGTCAACACTTTTATGGTCGATATCCCAAGTGATGTCGTCTAATTTTGCTAAGTAATGGTCATCTAATTTTTGTTTTACATTCTTCGAACTCGTTCCTGATTAGGTCTTCTAATTTTCTTGACGCGTGCAATCGAGTCCTTTACTTCTTGTCAAATGCGTGAGTCCTTTGATCTATGAAACTAATAACATTGCGAAAATTGCCATGCAGGGAGTCTTGAAACACTCGATAGATAAAATTTAGGACTTCTAAGATACTTTTCTCTTGCGACCAAGCACATTTCGAATAGCTAGAACACCAAAACTAACCAGACTCAAGTAAGAAACGTTACAATGGAAGCCCTCCCAAGAGGCCCCGGAGGGAGTAATAAATTACATGCTCTCCTAATTAGAGGTGGTCAATGGGTGAACTTGCATCGGGCCCAAAACATTGTCCAGGCTAGCAGGCCGCTAGGCTAGGTCCTATTGCATCTCCATCACCGGGTATAGAGAACGAAACATTCGATGCCTACCGATTCCATCCATCCACAACTAAAAGGTACCCGAAGCAATACGCTCGCAGCACACATATTTGAAATCTCCTCGGGTTATGGCGGGTATAGTTGGACCTGACCCGTTTATACACCGCCGACACTATACGAGAAAAAGGACAAGAATTATAGCAAAAGAAAAACTCAAATGTAACACAACACGATGCAGTTAACTCGTATATCGACATAAACTATAGGCCTTCCTCGATGGCAATTCTTGTTTTCTGGAGAGAGAGAGAGAGAGAGAAGGGGAAGAAGTAAACGGATGGTGCGGGCCCTGCGATTACCTTCCAAACACGAAATGCTGAGGCCCATGGACTATGTAAAGCTCAATTCTAGTTTCGCAGCGGATGAATGCGAGGGTAGGGATGGATTTTTTTTTCTTTTTATCGAAAGAGGGAGGGATGAACTTCGATGGTATACATATCTTCATTTTTCCGCAATGGATTTGAGCATCTTCTCGGCACGGGAACTTAGAAGAGCTTGGACGATCGGGTCGAGAACATCCGGTCGGATGAGATATTCCGGTTGTCAACAAGTATGCACACAATCCTTTATATCCAGTGGCCCTAAACGTGCTTGCATAATCGTATCGGCGTGCTTGTCCTACCACAGCATTACTCTCTGTATTGGAAAGGTAATTAGAAACGAACGTGAAAATCCACGAGACTTTTTATATTAATATATCTCTTTGATGGTCAAGTACCACCTCGCACCATCCCATGTTTCAATTCCCGAGTCGTTCCGCAAGAAAGGGCTCATGCCAATGCCAATGCCGATGCCGGTGCACCACCCACCCTTCTCGAGTTAGAGTTAGCACGCCTTAGAAATGTCAAAGAGAAGGGCACATGTTGTATGTCTAATCTTCTTATAAGGTATTACTTTCATACTCTACACATCTCCAATATACACATGCCTCTGGTCCTCGACCTACGGAACATTCCTAAGGAAAAAAACCCTAGATGGCGAGACGGGACCGGAAAGAAGCAGAAAGTGGGTCAATGGTTCACGTCTACTTGTCGAGAGACCAGTAGGTTCAGCTTTGGGAAGGGGCACATCTTGGGCCCCATTTGGTTCAGCTTTGGGAAGGGGCTTTCGGTCGAAAGCCCCTTCCCAAAGCTGAACCAAATGGGGCCCAAGATGTGCCCCTTCCCAAAGCTGAACCTACTGGTCTCTCGACAAGTAGACGTGAACCATTGACCCACTTTCTGCTTCTTTCCGGTCCCGTCTCGCCATCTAAAGCCCCTTCCCAAAATGCTAAACCGTTTGGTTCAGCATTTGGCCTAGCATTGGCCAAATGCTAGCATTTGGAATGCTGAAAGCCCAAAGTTGGTCCGGATCAGCTTTGCGCTTTCTGCATTCCACAAATGCTAAAGCCAAATTTTTTGTTCCCAAACTACCCTCACTTATTTTGGTTTATTCCGGTTTTGCCCCTCTTATTACTATTCATCTTCTTCGTGAGACCGCTGGCAAGGGAGGCCGGCAAGGGCGGCCGGCACTGGATCAGGCCAGCGAGGTCGCACGAACCAGGCGACGGCCACCTGGGTCGCACAACCCTCGCCGAGGGTCGCCTGGCCTCGCGCGACGGCCGCTGGTGGCAGATCTGGCTCGCCGACAGTCGCCTGACCTCGGGCAACGGCCGCCGGCGCCAGATCTAGCTCGCCGGAAGGCCGGCTCCGGCGAAGGGTAAAATAGGTTTTTTTTTTAAATAAAAAAGATAATTCCCAAAGCCTTTTTGCAAAATTTTTTTTACTAAACACTACTTAACCAAAAATAGCTTTACAAGTGATTTTTTATCAAACGCCACTTGCATTTCCCCAAGGAGTTTTAACCTAAAGGTATTTGCATTCCCCCAAGTAGCATTTCAAAAGCCGAACCAAACGGGTTAACAGAAAAACAGACTGTAAGTGTTGACGAAGTGGAGACAAAAGGGGAGAAGAAGAAAGAATTGTACCGTGAAATGGTTATGACTGTGCTTAGCTGGTCAATAGATTGACGGTCGACATGAAATCCAACAAAAGATCTTGGTGGGTGGGATCGAAACGATCATAAACTTTTTGGGTTTTTCTTCTAGAGCAATTAACGTTCCCATCCCCTTTGCCGTAAGCTATGGACTGCATTCCAAATTGCTATTTTGGTATCGTCCGACGGCCATGTCAGCTAAATTTGATCAGATTTGGTGTCGTAAGAACTTGATTAGAAAATTTATGAAAGTAAGGATTTTAATTAAATAGATGAATAATGGGATAATTACCCAAAAAAATCGTAAATATATTATACGGGACGCTAATTCAGTCATAAACCTTTTAATTTGGCTAATTTAGTCATGAATCTTTTAACGATTTGCCAACATAGTCCTTCCGATCAATTTTGATATGAAATCACTGACGTGGATGCCGGCCGTCTTATGTGGCATATGACCGATGCTAACGTGGACAATTTTTACGATTTTTAAATAATTTTTCTGAATTTTTTCCATTTTTTCTCTTCTATTTTGTCTTTCTTTTTTGTTTTATTAATGTGAAAGACGGCTGTGGGCGAGGGCCACAACGCCCTCACACAAAGTCCTCGCCAACCATCGTTGAGGCCGCAGACCAACGGATAGACCTAAGGGAAAAAAGAAAAAAGAAAAAGGAAAGAAAATAAAAGAAAAGGAAAAGGAATTCATAAAAATTATTAAAAAATTACAAAAATTATCCACGTCAGCATCGACCATGCCACGTGGGACGGCCAGCATCCACGTCAGCGATTTCCGGCCAAAATTGATTGGAAGAACTTCATTGATGGATCGTTAAAAGAATTATGACTAAATTAACCAGATTGAAAAGTTTATGACCGAATTTGGTATCCGTACAATAGGTTTAGCATTTTTTTGGTACTTTTTTCCAATGAAAAATATTGGGACTTGCTTAGAAGAGCTTGAAATGAAAACTAAAGTTTTTCTTCAAATTTACACATCCAAAAGAAGAAACTAGGAATTGGGTCAACCGTGAAAATCCTCGTATTCGAAGAACCTAATACACGCCATGTACATGACAATTCTAAATGTTAAGGAAGAAATGATCGCCTTTGTAGTATATTTATTGTCTGATCTATACTTACACTTACACTTACATTGCTATAAAAAAAAAAATTTACTGTACACAATTTTTTGTAATTTTTTTGAAATTTGAATGATATTTTAAATTTTGGAGGAAATGCAAAAAAATCAATTTGGATCCGGTAGTTGAAAGGGTTCCCCCAGTTGGAGGGTCAAACCAGAAACATCTGGATCTAACGAAATGCTGAAATGCTCTGACCGACAACGATGTATTGCAAAACGAAAAGGAAAGAAAATCTGGAAATCTAAGGCACAATTTCCACGGCGTTATTTACGATAGCACACTGTAAAATGATTTTAGGGATAATGACATAAACAATCTCTGAATTTTGACCCAATGTATAATTTGATCCCTGAACTTTTAATTTGTTCAATGTAGTCCCTAAACTTTAGGCTAATGTGCAATGTGGTCCCTGAACTTTTAATTTGTTCAATGTCATCCTGAACTTTTGGTACATGTTCAATTCAGTCCCCGAACTATATGAAATTGTTTAATGCAGTCCTTTCCATTGTACATTATATTAAAGTTCAGGGACTATATTGAACAAATTAAAAATTCAAGGATCAAATTGCATATCGGGCCAAAGTTCAGGGACTGTTTGTGTCATTTTTCCATTATTTTATAAGATCGCAACATGTTACGACGCTCTTGTATTTAATCGCGACGACGTACCATGTAATTATAAGTACAATTGGAGTGCCAATAGAAGTATCGCGATGGAAAAGAAAAGGCTACAAATACTTAAGCCACACAATAAAAGGACGGTGAGAAAAATTCAATGCTCGAATTAAATAAAAAGAAAGACTTTGAAGGAGATATAATCAAATAAATGGCCAAGCAAATGAGTCCGTGACCTTTGAGTCCTGTGGGTGGCAATGCATGCTGCCGAGCCACTCTTGCCACTCCTTACAAGGAGACAACCTCGTTCGTTCGTTCTCACCACATACTATCACTAATCCTTCATTCGCATCGATTAACTTCACATGCCTCGATATCTTCTATGAGGAACTTGATATTACCGGCAGTGATGGAATCTTGACGTTCGAGTGATAATAATGATTTCGGGCACCAGATCAAGTCTACTTCCCGAATCTGATAAAAGGCAGGCAGGCAATCCGTGATTAATGAAATAAGAAACTCTGCAATGAATTACTCTAGTGCAGCCTAGACCGAATTTAACCCTAAATGATAGGGTGCGTACTAACCCACAGAGAAAATAGATATACTTTAAACGGGTCATGAATGTATGAACCGTAGTGGCCGAAAGAGAGCTCTTTTCTCTTTGTTTTATTAGCTATGGGACTACCTAAATGCATAGATAAGATTTAGGTCCACGAAATATCTTATTAATCTCATCGATCACATCAGTTGTACACAAGTCACACACAAGTCGAAATTGATAAGTGTGCACGATCCAAATGCATAATTGCCTGCACTCAACAGGGTGATAATCAAATTTTTAATCGTGTGCTTAATTTACATAGAAACAGAGAGAAAAAAATTCAGTCTTGGCCGCATCATTCCACCATGAACGTGCGCACCAGAAGACACAAAAGAAAAACTGGTTTTGATTGAATTCCTCATATACAATTGTTATTTAAGACCAAAGTTCTCACTCGTGGTAAGTATTTCATCTTCCTCCATCGACCTCAAACCAGTGCAGATGTACGAAGACGTATGTATTTGATAACAATGATAGTATACAACGAGGCGAAGGGAAAAGATGGAATTCTCGTCGACTTCAGCTAAAATTTTTGCAGAGTCGAGCTTTGCATGGCATTACATCTTTCCTCCTCCTGCCTAGAAGGGCTCCTCCAGAACCCCATGTTGGAGAACCTCCTCCACATCTCCTCCTCCATCTCCGCCGCCTCCTCCTCCTCCTCCACACCTCCGGCAGCCGCCGCCGCCACGCCGCCCCTCATCTCCAGCAACTCCTCCAGTGTTATCACCGCTGGCCAGGCATTCTCCGTGCCGGCGCCCTCCCCATCATCGGCGCCATTCCCGTCCCTGTTGTGCCCCGACGTGCACTTCTTGCTGCTCCTGACTTCCCTCTTGGGCGCGAACGCCACCTGCCTCGTCAGCCTCCGGCGGCGGCGCTTCCTCAGGGCACGGCGGAACAGCCCTGCCGGCACCCGGTAGACTGCGAGCAGGAAGAAGTCCGCGATGGCGCATGGGCAGCAGCACCAGATGGCCGCGCACTCAGCAGCGGAGGCGCCTGCCACCTCGGCGAGCCGGGCACGGCGGGTACCGGCGGGGGTCGGCGATGGGGTGCTCAGGAGCGACTCCCGGCGGTTGACCGGCGCCGGCCGGCGCACGACCTGACGTGTCGTGGTTGGCGATGGATTCTTGACTTTCTGGCGGGTCATTCGGAGTTGGTTTTTTTCCCGGGAGAACCAAGGACGACCGAGATCTCTCTCTCTCTCTCTCTCTCTCTCTCTCTCTCTCTCTCTCTCTCTCTCTCTCCAATCCGTGCAGATCAGCTGATCACCGAATGGTAAATTCTGAGAAGGCAATCCAAGGGAGTCGCTCGGATGACCTTGTGATTCTTGAAACGTTTCACGCAAAAAAAGAAAGATACTTCCTTCTTCTTCTTGTTTCTTCCCGGGAAAGTTCGGGGAGATGGAATGTCAAGATGCGAGGGTGGGTTCCTCCATCCCTTCCCTTGACCGGTGGAAGCTGGGGCGAGACGAAAGAACACGAAGGAATCGAAGAGGAACGTCAGGAGGAGAAGGAAGGAAAGGGCTATCTCGTCGAAATGGTGGACACCATCGAACCCCTCTTCCCCCAAAAAGAAAAAGGAGGAGAAGAAAGAGAACTCAGGTGAACGAGGAAGGTGATGTGGTTGATCTCTTTTCGGTTGTGTTTTGAATAATCGCGCTTTATTTGGGGCAGAGGGACAGAAAGATAGGGGGAGATGGTTTGCTGTCCCCGTGGGATGGGAAAGATGGATAGAGACATGGCTTAAATCTCGCAAAAATAACGAGATGGGAATGGACTTTCTATTTCCTTTTTTTAGTATGCTTAGCATTTATAATCTTCGTACTTATCACAAGAGAAATTGTCTATCCCCCAAACTTTTTTTTGCAAAAACTTGCTGTGAATGATCCAAGTTTGGTAATGGGTCATCAAATGTTAAATGATTCATCTGATTGGTATGTATATGTATTCGTATCACTCAAATGACATCATTTATGGAAAATATTACTTTTTCCACTAGTGATATCCGAAAGAGAATACACGGGAGATAGATTTGACACATTTATCTGACCCTTGCTCGAGACTTTGTGCGTTTCGATCCATCTTATATCAAGTCTCGAGATTTGATCATTTATTGTATATAGGCACGGTTTTAATGAGTCGGCCATTCTAATAATTCGGGAAAAGTGCCAAAAAAGTCCTAAATCTTTTGCATTAGTGCCAATTTAGTCCTAAATATTTTTTTGATGCCAATTCAGTCCTAAACCTTTTGCATTGGTGCCAATTTAGTCCTAAACCTTTTTTTGGTGCCAATTAAGTCATAAACCTTTTAAATTGGTGCCAATTCAGTCCTAAATCTTTGTTTTTGTGCCAATTTAGTCCTTCCGGTCAATTTTGACCGGAATTTGCCGACGTGGACCCCTGCCGGCCGGCGGTCGGTCACCGGCGCTGACGTGGAAAACTTTAGTAATATTTTAATATTTTTTTGAATTTTTATTTTTTTCTATTTTTTTCCACTTCTTTTTTTTTTGTCTTCCCTCCTTTCTCTGGCTGGTCGCCGGTGCGGCGATCGGCCAAAGGCCGGCGAGCTCAACCTCGCCGGCCACTAGCAAGGGCGGCCTCGCCCGGCGAGGGCGAGCCTCGCCTTGGTCGGGCGAGGCTCGACCTCGCCAGATCCGGCGAGGTCGGGCCTCGCCTTCGCCGCGGCCTCCGACAAGGGTTCGAGCCTCGCCATGGTCGGGCGAGGCCCGACCTCGCTAGATCTGGCGAGGTCGAGCCTCGCCCGACCAAGGCGAGGCTCAAGCCCTCGCCGGAGGCCGCGACGAAGGCGAGCCTCGCCATGGTCGGGCTAGGCCCGACCTCTCCGAATCTGGCGAGGTCGCTGGACGAGGCTCGACCTTGCCAGATCCGGCGAGGTCGGGCCTCGCCCGACCATGGCGAGGCTGGCCCTCGCCGCGGTCTCCGGCGAGGTTGGGCCTCGCCTGACCATGGCGAGGCTGGCCCTCGCCGCAGCCTCCAGCGAGGTCGAGCTCGCCAGCCTCTGGCCTCTGGCCGGTCGCCGGACCAGCGACTGGCCAAAGGAAGGAAGGAGAGACAAAAAAAAAAGTGGAAAAAAAAGGAAAAAAAATTAAAATATTACTAAAGTTTTCCACGTTGGCGCCGGTGACCGGCCGTCGGCTGGCAGGCGTCCACGTCGGCAAATTCCGATCAAAATTGGTTGGAAGGACTAAATTGGCACAAAAACAAAAGGTTTAGGACTGAATTGGCATAAAAAAAAGGTTTAGGACTAAATCGACATCAATGCAAAAGGTTTAGGACTGAATTGGCACCAAAAAAATATTTAGGACTAAATTGACACTAATGCAAAAGGTTTAGGACTTTTTTGGCACTTTTCCCCTAATAATTCCATATCCTCGGCATGCTTGACATTAGAAAGCTAGTGCCAAACTATGTCATTACATGTGTCTATTCCAACTTCAAATACATAATTCGAACACAATCCCTACTCGAAAAATAATTTGATTCATTAATACTTCCTTGCCATCTCAAAAGCTTCAATATATATGAGTCACACCTTATTTGAACTGATTTGCCCTTGGCAATTACTCTCCTCTCTTATTGAATTGACGTGGTTTGCACCACAAAAGTGAGAAATATTTAGTTAGAAGCATTTTCGTGTTCCCTTGCCAACTAAACTTAAAATTGTCCAAAAAGTCTTAAATCCTATTATACTTTTACTAATTTAGTTATAAACTTTTAATTTTACCAATTGAGTTATAAGCCTTTTTACTTTTTGAGTTCATCTAGCCAAAATGCTGACGTGAACGTTAGCCGTTTTACGTGGCACAGCCAGTGGACAACTAGCGTTGACGTGTACAATTTTAATAATTTTTGAATATTTTAATAAATTTTCATTTTTTTTGTTTTCTTCTCTTTTCCTTCTTTATTTTTTTTCTTTTTTTTACTTTACTCTTCCGTTCTTTTTTTTTGTCTTTTTTTCCTCTGGCGGCCATCGACGAGGCTAGGTGATGGCTGCCGTAGGGAAAAAAGAAGAGAAAGGAAAAAGAAAGAAAAAAAGAAAAAAGTGAAGAAGGAAAAGCTAAAAAAAATTCATAAAAATATTGAAAATTTATTAAAATAGTAATAAAAATCAACGTCGACACCAGGAGTGCCATGGGCCAGCATACATGTCATCGATTTCTAGCCAAAAATTAATCGGATGGACTCAATTCGTAAAATGTGAAAAGGTTTAAGACTTAATTAACACAATTAAAAGGTTTAGTATTGAATTGGCAAAAATACAATATGTTTAGAACTTTTTGGACAATGCACTCCTATAGATTTAGGACTTTTAATCTATTTCACTAACACGCACTTCAATCCAGCTACCGTTGCAAATGGATTGGATCTACTTGAACGGGCCAAAAGTCTTAATTTAACAGGTTCACGGGGTTTATAGGGTATTTCCATCCATCTCCATATAATCGGTTTTTTGCACTCGTATCTTTGAGTTATATATAAAAAAAAAACTGCATTTCAAAATAAAATAATAATAATAATGCGAGAGAGAGACAGAGAGAGAGATCCGAATTGGGTGCCATAAAAAAGAGATGTTTTTCAACTCATTGTCTAGGGGGTCAATCACATGGTTCCTCACGAAATGAGTTACTTCCACAGCAGAAACCAGTGCTCATTCCTGATCGAATGAGGACAAGTTACGTCACGTATCTTCCTTCCTTCTCTATCCCCGAAATGTAAATTGCTTTTCTCGTTCCGAACACGAGATCGGCACTGTTTTGTCTCTTCACTCCTCATCTTTCCTAGCACAACTAGTTTCTTTCTTGGGGAAGTACGATGGCACAAATCCTAGGGTTAGCTTATGCAATTCTTCTACGTAGCTACCAACATCCTTAAAATGAAAGAGGCCGAAAGCCCATGTGTAGATATGTCCACGGGCTAAGATTTTCTTGTAGACCCATAGAGAGCTGCCCACCAAAAGCATGAAGTCTTTAGTAAGTTATAATTAGGGATAATAACATAAATAGTCCTTGAATTTTGGTTTAATAAGTAATATCATCTATGAACTTTTAATTTGTGTAATATGATCCCTGAACTTCGGCCTATTGTACATCTCGTCACTGGATTTTTAATTTGTTGAATAATTAATGAATTATTGATAAATGTTCAATCTAGTCCCCGAACTAATATTCGATGTAGTCATTATGTTTGGCGTCATTTTCACATAGTAGATGAACTAAATTGAACATTTACCAATAGTTTAGGGACCATATTAAATAAATTAAAAGTTCAAGGATGACATTGCAAATTGGATCAAAATTCAAGAATCATTTGTGTCATTTTATCATGTGTGCATAGATGGTATAACGAAATCTTCGAGATAAATGAATTCTCTGATGTGAACGTCAGCCGTTTTACGTGGCACGATTAGCGCTAGCGTGGCATGGTCGGCGCTAGCGTAGACAATCTTTATAATTTTTAATCATTTTTTTTAATTTAATTTAATTTTTTCTATTTCTTTCTATTTTTTTTCCCTTCTTCCTCCACCAGCCTTGGCGATGGCCAGCGACCAGCCACATGCGACAACTAGCGAGGGTCGCCCTCGCTGGGATTTGGCGGCCTGTAATGGCTATTGTGCAAATCCAACCCATTGTTCTTCACTAAGACATTGAGAGAGAGAGAGAGAGAGAGAGAGAGAGAGAGAGAGAGAGAGAGAGAGAGAGAGAGAGAGAGAGAGAGAGAGAATGTTGGCGACCTGCAATGGCTACAAAGAAGAGAGCAACGGCTACAGAGGCAATGGCGACCGATGACGTGGGCGTCGTGCTATGAAGGGAATATGTTTGAGCTTTTTGGTTGAATTTCTGTACGTTTTGATCATTTAGAGTGACATCCCTAACCGGAGATGATCTCTTAACTTCTCTTAAGTAAAGCTAAAGATATACTTCCACAATATTGACATAGGAAGAGAGGAGCAAAAACGTATCTAGGTTACACTGACAGCGTAAGATTGGTTTCGCACTACAAAACGGAGTTAATCCTACCTTTTACACCAGTAGCTCTCGATTTTGTCTCGCACGTTACCCAATCCTTAAAATTAGCGATATATATATGATTAGCCGGAGTTAGTTTACGAATTATACAAAGAATAATGTAATTAAATAAGTCTATTGTTCCCACACTTCATCGTGTAATTGTTAGAATAATAAGAGAGAGACCCACAAGCAAGAAACGCAGTAAACTATCCTGCAATTCTTTCTTCTTTTTTTTAATTTTTGTCGCATTCTTTTTTCAATTGCCTCCATTTCCATGTAGATCAGGCGCAACACATTCTTGACATAACAAGTCAACGCACAAACCCCCATCGCCAAGGAACTACAGAAATCTACACTTTTTCTTTCCTTGACAGATGCTGAAGCAGTTTTGCTTCAGGCCACAGAAAGCCCGAGATTCTATTTACAGTTTATACACCCGAAAGAGAAAAGGAACAGAGACCCCCAAATCCTCGAAACTAAAGCAGAAGAACAGCTAGGTATGTTACAATGCATTGCAGCCCCTGTGCATCCTATCCTGGGCGAGCCCTTTATACAGAACCTGCCGGTTCATCGGCATGTCGAAACTCCGAGCAGTCTTGGCTAGGCATTTCGATCGCCTGTACTCTCTGTTGTCCGACAACGGCTCGATCACATCCTCCGCGAACCGGACCTTCTTTCTGGTCTCGCACTTCTCCGATGATCCTAATCCTAACGCAAGACAAGAACCGATATTCCAAAATAAATTCTTCTTACAGGAAAGGAAATGGAAGGGATCTAATCATGTTCATGACCCTTTTTCCTAGAGAAAAAAAGAGAGAAGAAAATGAAGAATTCATTCATACCCTGAAGTTCAAACTCAAGCTTCTTCATGAAATCAGAGAGCAAGCGCTTCTGGACTTGAAGGGCAATGAGGGCTACGCTTCCTGAGACTGCACAGACCGCCAACAACCCCGCTCCCATTGAATTCTCCATCTCTCTCTCTGTCTCTGTCTCTCTCTCTCTCTCTCTCTCTCTCTCTGATCTCTAAGCAAAACTTATGGGATCAGAGATGTCTCTTGAGACTCATGAAGGAAAGACAGAAAAGAAAGGGAGGGGTCTGAATGACTTTCTCCATTCTAATATTGGGGAGAAGATGCGAGGAAGATGAGAAGTTTCCGGTTTTCAATAGTTGGTGCGTGGGGACCGGGAGAGAAACGAAGAAGATGGAGAAGAAGGAGAAGATCATTTAAGGGTTTTAAAAATGGGCGGTTCACACAAAGAAGCAACCATGACCATCTACCCAATCAGCCAGTGAGAGGAGAGGAGAAGAAGATACAAACTAAGATTAAAGAAAGAACTTTGATTGACCGATGCCTAGAGATTGGCGACCCCTGAAATTGACTTGATTTTTTTAATTTTTCTTGCATTTTTTTCCCAAGAAAAATATCGTTTTTTTATCCAAGGACCCTTTCGTTTTTCATGTAATCGGTAAGCAACCCATCTTTATTTTTGTATGTCCAAAGGCGTGCGTGCCCTAGAAAACAAGTGAGCACCATTCTTTTTCTTGGAAACGAATCATAACAAATGCGAAACAAACTCCACTTGGTCAATTGTTATCGATGGTATGGAAAGGCCTAAGGCTGCTGCTGCCAAAACCATGTCGACACCATCCACAGTAATTGTGATTTGACCATTCTTATGGAAAATTGAGATTCTCATATCTTTTGACTTTCATTTGGTTTGGTTTTTGATTTGATTGGGTCCCTTCAATTTCAGTTATGACTCCTCCACATCTTCTGAATTTTAGGGATCCTCTTGATGAGAGAAATTTTTACTGTTTGTGTTTTTGCTAATTTTAGGGATACTCTTGAGGTGTATGTTACGTGAAGATGTTCGTCTCGTTTTAGGGACTTGTCCGGACCTCATGGGCGGACATGCAAAGGTTATTGCCATTCGACTATCACTTGGGTGGTATTCTTGAGTTAATCCACATAATTGCAAGAAAAAATAACCAAGGTTAGGGATTTTTTTTTCTGTAATTTTCTCTCTTGTTTTGTACATTGAAGGAAAATCTAACAAGTGGATGGCTCCTGATTTCTTGGGTTATTTGGGGAGAATTACAAAAAAAGTTATGAATTTTTTGCTCTTGTGCCAATTCAGTCATAAACATTTTAACAATACCAATTGAGTCCTAAATCTTTTCATGTTTTGTCAATTGAATCCAACTGACCAATTTTGGCTAGAAATCGCTGACGTGGACACCGGTTATCCTACGTGGCACGGCCGGCAATGACGTAGACATTTTTAATAATATTTTACTATTTTTTGAATTTTTTATTCTTTTCTTCTCTTGCTTTTTTTTTTTTTAACTTTTGGCATTGGGGAGGGTTGCAATGCCCTCACCAGATTTGGCCAAGCAAGCGCGCTATGGCCCTCGCCCAGACTCAGTGAGGGCTGCGACGTCCTCACCCAGTGCTAGTAGGGGCCAGGACGTCCTCGCCGGCCTAAGTCAAGGGAAAAAATTTAAATAAAAGAAAAGAAAAATAAAAAAGAAAAAAATTATGAAAAAACAAAATATTGTTTCAAAAATGTCAACGTCAGCACTGGTATGGTAGGACAGCCGACGTCCACGTCAGCGATTTCCGATCAAAATTGATCAGATGGACTCAATAGGCGTCCATGTCATCGGACGATAGTCGCCCGAGAGTTTCACTCACTACAATCGTAAGCATGATGGTCAGATTTGGGCACTGTGAACCATCGTTCTGGTCACCTTGCTTTGGCAACCGCCCAACGGTGGTGGCACCTTGAGTCGACGTCAATCGCCACATGTTATCGTCACTTGCGAGTCCTCTAGTGAACCAAATCTATTCAAGTGGCCACCGTGACAGGGGCAACATCCCTGGCGATCGCCATGGTCATGTGATTCCCACTATGGAGGAAGTTGTCAAAAAATGGCGATTATCACCGTTGGTGTTTGTTTGTAAAATAAACAAAAAAAGGCTATTTCCTTGTCCCACATAGGAAGAAAGGAAAGTTTTAGTCTATTTATAAGTTAAGGTATTATCCTTTATTATAAATAGAGAAAATGGGTGAATGTGCTAGATCCCACAATACCTGCGTGCAGGTGTGCGATTTTAACGCGCACTTGGCCCGCATGCACGCCGCGGACCAAAATAAGCCTTAATCAACAATCTATTTTTATTTTTATTTTTTTCTAATGACTGTTCAGTCAAAATTGTCTGTTTTAGGACACGAAAAGGTATGTCCAAAATTGACAGTTTTCATGCTTGAAGAGTAGTGTTTGAATTGTAATTTTTCTTAATTGTAATTTTTCAAACATGAACGGTTGTGTCCGAATGGCAATTTTTCAGACACGAAGGATTATGTCCGAATTGTAATTTTTTGAACATGAATGGATGTGTCCGTATTGGCAGTTAGACAGCAAGAGGTGTGTTCTATTTGCTTATATATATTGGACAATTCTGTTCAATAGAAAAAATAACAAAACTCCTTTCATTTTCGTCTTCCTTAAGAGAAAAACGAGACATCCATTTTCTCAATTGTTTCGCAGAGAGTTTTAGGAGAAATACTGAAATTGCTATCTAGTATTCTCATTGTAACTTTGTTGTATCATGAAGAAAATTTGCCAGTAACCTATAGCAACTTCGTGAGGCAAATTAATCCCAAAAGAGAGTGATTACACGCCTCAAAGTCCGACTACTTTCCGATTCCATTTTCTACAAACACATTTTCCCAACAATCACCACAGGTGGTGGTCTTTTTGCACACACAATATGATAAGTTTTTTTCATCCTTTAACGTATTCATACCGAACAATGCATAGAATATAACAAATCTCTCGCATTTTTATCCTATTCTATCACAATCCCGATCTTTCCCTTGGATCAATAGCAGCCTAAGAAGCTATGACAAACTTCATACCACAGAAGCTATAAACGGTCGAAAGAGCTTTTCTACCCAAAAAAAAACTCCAATTTCCTTTCGAAACCTAATACTGCACCTCCTTTTCTGGCCAAACAACATTGTGCTTTAGTCCAGTTCAAGCTATGTCCATTCAGGCAGCCTAAGCAAGCAAATATTGAGCAGGCAACATAGGTGTCAGCATCCTGAGATCATGGAATTGATCTGATCGAGCCTGTTTGGCCTCAGTAGAATTTTCAGTTTTCCTCGAAAAGAGTGATATGACCAAGCTATTGAGCAAGGGCAATTGAGTCAATCAGAGAGCCCAAGTAATTTGCTTTTGTATAGACCAAGACTTTGTCGGGCCATTATCTAGAAGGAACCCTTCCAACAACCACATGTTTTGGACATTTTAATGTCTTCATAAACGTGGCGTAGCAAATTCTATCTGTGCAAATTGACCCCGAAGATAAACAAAGACTCGTCTATCCCATCCAAGTTCAATGCATCCATACTTTTCATAAGGGACAGTGAAAAACTTGGATGCCAAGTCACAACCAAAAGGTGAAAAATAGAAGAGAAGAAGTGAGGATTTGCGACCGTAGAAAGTGAAATATTCCTTCTACATAGTATGTGCGAATTTGTCTTGCATGTGCTTTTGTGTGTGCGCGTGCACTTGATTTGTGATGCCATCCTTGAGACGACGGTCTCTAATGGTTATTTCTAAGGGATAATGCCATAAGCAGTCGTTGAATCTTTGCTTAATATCATCCCTACATTCTGTTTTTGTTCTATTTCGTCCATGTACTTTTGAGGAAAAATTACCAAAACAGTCATAAACCTATTGCAATTATGTCAATTCAGTTATAAACATTTTTTGTGCCAATTGAATTCTAAACCTATTGATTTTGTGCCAATTCAATACATCCGATCAATTTTGGCCAATCGACGCTGACATGGACGTCGGCCGTCCTACGTGACACGGTCGTCGGCCGTCCTACGTGACACGGTCGTCGCTAACGTGGACAATTTTTAATAATATTTTAAAATTTTAAAATTATTATTTATTATTTATTTTAATTTTCCATTTCTTTTTCTTTCCTCTTTTCATCTTCAACCTCTAGCCACTTGCCAGTTCCAGCAACCGGCCAGAGGTGGGGGTTGGCGAGGTCGGCCCCGCCAGCCGCTGGCGAGGGCTAGCCTCAACCTCACCATGACTAGGCGATGCTTGAACTCACTAGCCATTAGCGAGGCTCGCCCTCGCTAGCGGTGGGTAGGGCCGACCTCGCCGGTCCTCGGCCTAATCGGCTAGAGGTTGAAGATGAAGGGAAGAAAAACAAAAGAAAAGGAAAGAAAGAAAAAATGGGAAAAAGAGAAGAAAAGAAATCGAAAAATTATTAAAAAATTATCCATATCAGCGTTGGCCGTGCCACGTAGGACGGCTGACATTCATGCAAGCTCTGACTAACCAAAATTGGTCAGATGGACTGAATTGGCATAAAAGCAAAATATTTAAAACTCAATTGGTACAAAACAAATATTTATAACTGAATTGGCACAATTACAATAGTTTTAAGACTGTTTGGTAATTCTCCTTTTCTTTAATTGCAGTGCTAATCATGTGTTTTTCTGCTGGTGTGGCTGCCAAATCAGCATTAGAGGTGATGCTGAATCTATTAGTGGTGCGTTTCTGGACCGATTGGACAGGTAGAAGTCCAAACGGAAGGCAAAACAGTGATGTGACTGGAACCGGTGGACCCGATCAACGACATCGGATATTTTTTATGAGTTAATTTAAAAAGACAGTTTCCTAATTTTGATGTTTTACGCTTTCCAATTTAGATTAGGTAACTTTTCTATTATGATTAGGTTTCCAATTTAGATTAGGTAACTTTCCTATTATGATTAGGTTTCCTATTGTAATTAGGTTTAACCCCTATAAAAGGGTGTTTAGGGTTGTTTTGAAGACAGAACATTATTATCATCAATATTGAATTTCAAGATGTTTTCTCTCTAAGCGAGGTTTTGCTTGAATTATTCGCGGAACGCTGCGTCAGGTGGTATCAAAGCCTATGGCGACTGGCGGTGGTCTTCGTGACGATGTTCAGGAGACTGGAGCCCTAACCCTTGGGGACGACGCGCTGCAACGTTTGGAGCGGCGTTTAATGGAGCGCTTGGATCAACGATTCGATCAAAGTCTTTGTCGTTTCGAAGAACGATTTGACGAGTTAACAGAACGATTCGAAGGTCTCGGCGTTGATGTGAACCGGAATCGACGGAATGACAGAAGGCCGGGTGCAGATCTTGCTCGCGGTGATCCTGTTGATAGGCCTGTTCCTGTCCACAGGCAGAATAACCCTCTGTTTTCAGAGAGTTTGGAAGAAGAAGAAACTGAAAATTTTGATGAGGAACGTGCTGATTATGGCGGCAGACGTCGTCATGGAGGATTTCAAAGAGGATATGATTGGAGAGATGGAAGA